CAATATAAATAAACCTTGGAATGAAAAATAATGGTTGCGAATTTGAGCCGCTGCTTCATTTCATCAGTTGCAAGTAGAACCTTTTAGATGCTGGTGCTTTAAATTTATTTCAATATCTTTGAATTACATTCAAAAACAAGTTAGTACAATAAGCTGCAGTTGGTGCATACATGTTATTTTCAATATCAATGTGTATTATTCTTAATGAATCCTAGTGCTGACAGGCACCATTTTATAAAGAATGTGTACTGTTAATTCTGTACATACCTTTTCTTAACAAGACACCTTATAACACACAGTGCATCATGTATTGATCTATCAGCCTCTTCTATAACTAATTTATTAGATCCATAAATTAAAACAGACACAGTCCTGCCTTGATTGGCTGCTCCTATAACCTGAAAATAAGGGAAAATGTTACTCACTGAAATTTAATGCAACAGTTCTAATCAAATCATTGAATTCATATTTATAATTCAAGGATTTACTATATTCGATATACAGGATCCAACTAACTCACCTTGACTAACTTGCCACCTGCACCAGCACCAAATTCTTCCACAGTATCAGCTACAGCTAAATTCTCTGGTAGAAAATGATCAATACTCGCTATGGGACGAGATCCTAAACTCTGATGAACAGAAACAAAGGTCAACACGTCAATCCAATAAGTCTTGGTAAGTGCTTATATTATGTAAATGAATTTCCCGCGATTGGATTTAATAGCATTCATGAGAGTTTTATAAAAACGATGCGACTTATTAAATGAACATTGAGTAAACAGGTCGTTGAAATAGGGTACTAGTAATTGTAATTTTTTTTTATCAACAACTTCGTAGACACCCAGGCTAAGTAATTGTAATATTCACCTTGCATATAAATTCAATATCATCTCTTTCAATATCTTTGACCACCATTATCTTCATTTTGGCTAGGAAATGTAAAGCCAAATCATTCACTGCATCCCTGTTGATATTACAGATTCATTACATTTCAATGCAGACCATGCACAAGTCAGACACTGAGAAGTAGCTGTCAGAATGCACAGATTATACGTTTGTCCTCAGTTATTTGTAAATTGGGTTCAATAAAGCGTATCCTCATCAACCTCAGTAGAGGGAGCTTAATGTCATCACTGGACAAAATAAATCCTCTAGATTAGATACCTATTTAGAAATGTTTTCATATCTTGGGTAATGCAGCAGCAATATGTGCATACATAGATAAAGCACATTTCATAGTATGTGGTTAACTATCTGAACACTTTAGGATATCTAGTCAAAAAAAATAGTTCAGTTGAGATTTCAGTTTGAATTGAAAAAAATGAAACAAATTCCATACCTCAAAATAGATTTTTGTATTAGTAATACATTACAACCAGCTTTTTTGATTTGCTTTATCAAGTTTAAAATGTATTGTCTTTCTTCTCGTAAAACTCTGTCCATTTGAGCATAATCTGATACAACTACTTGGTTTTCCATCTGGAATACAAACGAAATGTAAAGTTTATAAGAACGCAGGAGACTGATGTATATTTTTCTAAAAAATAGCCTAGATATGCATCAGAGGTTCCTTTGAGGTTTCTGCAATCCTCCATTTATGGAGGCTAAGCGTTGGATCTTTATTTACATCATATGCATAACATTGTTAAAGGCATTCATATTTTTGACAAGATTTTGAACAGTTTCTGTCAAAGGATGATCATAAATTCCTTATCTAATTGGGATATGTACAGAATAACTTACATCAGTTTTTGGTGGAGAGAGACAGAACTGTATCAATCCAATCTTGGCTTTCTCAATTTTATGCAGTCCCCCGCCAGCCACCTTTTGAGTAAAAACTACACCATCAATAAGTTGAGTATCTTCAATTGTACCTCTGCAAAGTAACATTTATGAACAAAATTAATTATGCACAGAAAACTCATAACAGAATCAAAGTGCAAAGATGCCACTAATTTTGTGCATTATACATGCAATGTAAAATTTCAATCTCATGTAATTGCCCAATCAACGGCCTTTGAAGTGGTACGGTTCTCTTGTCATTTGTATGCATCAGAGGTTCCTTTGAGCTCTCAGCAATCCTCCATTCATGGAGGCTAAGCGTTGGATCTTTATTTACATCATTTGCATACATACATTGACCTGATATCTACGGTATCCCGACTTGCCTAAAACAAAGCCAAGTTCAAATTCAATAGACTACACAGCATCAATGATCAAATATACATGCATTTAATCTTACCCAAGTTTCTTTATTATTTTGATGTCTTTAAGATCAACATTGTCGCTATGTGATGGATCTACCACTTTGAGAACAGCATCTACAGCTATTGGTGCCAGTAAATTACTGTACTGTGAAACAACCTAGAAAGAAATGAACCATCTGCTAAATTAAAGTTCCTTCGAGCTCCAGTACAAGCAAATGAAACATAGGTGTGTAAACTACAATCAATTCAGATTAATGGTGTTTGCATAGTTGCTAATACCTCGGCGATATAAGCTAGTGAAAACAATATTTTGTCTGAAATTGCCATGAATGTTTCACAACCACACCAACTGAATACCTACTTTGCTTCAAAATATCAACTCTTACTGACAGACTTTGTCTACAGTCCTGACATTTATAAATACAAATCACGTAAACACATCTAAAGTCGACATTAACTCGACATTTTGCTTCAACATCCAGAGCATCTCAAATACAAATTTGGTTTTCACTAACATTTAGCATTGCTAGTTTTTCAACTTACTTTAGAACTAAGTGATGTAGTAGCACTCTGTATTAGAGCTTCCCTGTTAGTGAGATCAACAGGAGTTGACATGCCTTCAAGGATTTCAACTGCTTTATCAGATGCTTTCTGAAATGCCTCAGAAATTGTAGTGGGGTGTATACCTGCAAAATAATGCAATTTTCAGTATCTTTTTCAATAAGCAACATGAAAACAATTTTGTAGGATAAGTGTACATCAGAGGTTCCTTTGTAGGGTTTCCTCAAGGAATTGTTAGGAATTGGATTGTTCAATAAATTCATCATATGCACACTCCAAGAATCGTGTTGTAACCACTTTTAGTAACTTAGTTGTGACCAGAATTAAAGCCTTGCTGAATTGATTTCAACGTATAAATACATACCTTTGGCTAGGAGTTTAGCACTAGCATCCAGTAAGCTACCAGCTATAACAACTACAGTTGTGGTACCATCACCAGCCGCAACATCCTGTGACTTTGACAACTCTACAAGCTTTTGGAACAGATAATACATTTAGTTATTTATGTAAACAAGTTCCAGTCCAGTTTTTTTAATACATACAATCTGATTTTATTACCGTAATCTTTCTAACAATTCTACCAGAAAAAACTAATTATTTTGCAGGTGGCTAAATCGATAGAAGAAAAACAGAAAATATTTTTTGGGTGGTCAAATTATCAGAAGTATATTTTGATTGGTCGAACTATAGGAGTGTAATTTTGGTAATCCAACTGCAACGAAAAACAAGCAGTAATTTCAAGAGACAATGCCGCTACATGTACCACCCACCCACCCACCAACCGAGAGAAATTGCCTGATTGTGTACAAAATGTTTTGCACACTAAGCACACACATAAAACATAAAAAGAAGGCATTCAGAATTTTTTGCAATAAAAAATAAAACATACAGACTTGCTCAATCTATCATTCTTTCAGGCAATATGATACAATATATCTCTTTTTGGAGGATGTAACATTTAGATTGTGCAATTAAAAAATCCCGGTAGGACTAGATCTGCATAGCTAAGAGCAAACCAAAGAAATATTTTGTTGTAGCATACAAATATAACTTCTCGTCTTGCACAAATTGCCAACCATAGCAAATATGGTATCAATGCACAAATTTTGTCTGTTCAGCACTTCTTAGAGGATTGTAGTGTTCTCTTCATCTATATATCAGATGACAGTTTCATCATTACAGACATTCTTAGTACTAAAGTAATGTCAATACACTTGTACACAAATTTTATTTGTGTACAAGGTTGACATATTGTTAAACTTTTATCAAAGCCATCAGGATAGCATTCTAAAATAACAATGTTCAGTAAAATTAGAAAATTTGCGTTACCAACACTAAATGAATAAATCCGATACAGGAATGAATGAATCAAATCAATCATACTAGTCCACTTGAGTTACCTACATATACAACATCAAACGAATTCAACTCCATATGATTTTCAGAAAGTATCAGCAACAATGAAAAAGTGACTAACCATTTTGGCAGCTGGATGCAACACTTGCATTTGTTTCAAAATGGTTGCACCATCATTGCTAATAGTTACATCTCCATTTGGGCTCTGGATCTATGGGAACAAATATAACTGTTTATTTGCCTTTTTCAGAAAACTATAAAACTACTGTACACCAAGCACATGGTTGATTAATTTAGCATTTTTTTTCAACACTGCTGAAGGTTTTCACAGGTCAAACCCCTTAAATTCACCAATTTATGAAGCAAAAAAATGTTCACCACAAGACTTTCTCCCCCAATTTTTTTTGCATCTTTCTTATATTCTACAAGATTGGAGCCAACAGACAAAATTGGAGTAAATTTTCATTTTTACTAGAAAAATTTGGCTATTTTTGTCCCAATCTTCAGATTATAAACTAGACTTTTGTGAATTTGTGATGAAAAGAGGGAACTGATGGTGACAAGGTTAAAGGCGGTGGTCGCCGAGCTGCGCATGTGCAACATTTGTCTTGATAAACATTGACTACCGCCTTTTAAATTGCTTTATATAGGTAAAGATGATTTTTTTTATGTACCATTTTGTCCATGCCTCTTGGTCCAAGACTAGTACGAATAGCATCAGCAACAGCTGAAATAAAGCACAGTACCGGTATACATTGGTATTATTGTATAGATAAAAACATGCAAGCAGGGTTTTACATGACGCAATATATTGCGGCATTGACGCATAATTATGACTGTATGACCCTCATAAAAATCAACAGTGGGTCCTGCGTGACGCAGGAATTTTGGCGTCAAATTGCGAGTAGTTGCTAAATGGGCTCTTGTAAGACTATTTCAAATGGAACGTTCCAAATCATTGTATGTGCGTCACCATTTACACCAATCACAAAAAAATGTACTACGTAAACGCTTTGTGTTTATAGCCCAGTGTTCTCCCCAGCATTCAATTTGTGTGCGGGGCCGCCACGCTGCTTTTCCTGCCCGCCACTGTGGTCTCGAGTCGCCACGGTGATTAGTAAGACCGCCACAGTGCTTTTTTCATTGTTCATCCTGTGAACTGTATTACGAAATATAGAAAAAAATACGTAGCTATCAGGGATCTCGACAGGACTATTGTCCTACGTACCGACTGACACGCATCCTGCCAGTCGTGGATTATAATTTGTAAACAATAGACGTAGTCGCACGACGTGGTAGTGGCTTATAAACAATACAAGTTAATTTTGTAAAATTAGCACCTCTTTGTTCGTAAGTAAATTTCTTTAACGATCGACACAGTCTTTAGATTGAAAGCTAACATTTTTTCAAAATCAATTCCACCCCGATATAACATGGGCAAAGCGGAGTTCACAATCTGTTTACGCTACTCAAGAAAAAAAACAACGTGTTTATTGCGTGATGGGTAAAATACATTTGAACTTTTATCATCGCGAATCATGTAAAAACTCTTCTTTCAAGACTTCTTTCACCTTTTAAAAATTGCTTATCACCTATTTCGAAAACCATCATGCATTTTCATCTGAAATCCATACCAACACATCGTGCTACGACATGCTTTACTTCCGCAATGTAATTTTTATGATCACTACCATTCGGAAAACTTCGGGTTCTGCCGGCTACCAGGCAGTATTTTGATTGGTTAATGGCGTTTTTGACCCATCGGGTCAAAGGACACATGCCGGTCAACTAATACGTCACAATTATCATGGCGGTCTTTGTTTTTCACCGAAGCGATAGAGTGATCAAAAATAATCGCTCAAATTTTACGTTTATTTCATATAAAAAAAATAAGTAACATTTTTTCATGGCATGACTGAGTA